TCACGACGCACGTTTCAATAGAATAGGACGGGTTTTTCTGTTTCCCTTTTTTCTCCATTTCGTCTCCTCGCGACTCATTCAGGTGTTGCGCCAGCATTCTGTAGATTATACACGGAAAAAACAAACGCTCACCGTAAGCCTGACTAAAACTCTTTCAGCTGATTCTGAGGAGCGCTTGAATAAAATTACACGGTTGTCACAAAAAATGAATCTTGAAATTTCCCGACTTTTCCATGTTTATCAGACGACAGTGGAGAATTTTCCGTGACCAAGACGTATTTTTAAACTTTAACGTTCAGAAGCAAGAATTGCAGGAAAAATAGCTTGTATTATTAGAAGCAACACAAACTTAGAAGTTCAATAATACAGTTCTAAATGCAAATTCAGGTCAGCATAAAATCAATGAGTATTGGAAAAAAAAAAAAAGAACGCGGTTATGACGGAAAAACGCTAAATAAAATTGACCAATCATATTCGATTATTCTCCTTACGGTCGAGAGATAATCGATTGTGTGATTGGTCACTTTTGTTACTGCTTACGTTTCACCGCTGAAGTTTTTCTACGTGTCACGGTCTTAACGTATAAAAAATAATTTGTAAAGTACACGTTATTTTGAACGCATTTGACTATAAATATTAGATATAATGTTTAAAAAAAATTATAAGCACTCTTTAAGATAAGAGTATTTAAGGGTATTCTAAACAAAGTTCAAAATCCCAGACTTTTTGACATCTTTCCCTAATCCTTTTCCAAATTTTCTCTGATCAATTTAATTTCCACGACTTTCCCCGATTTTCTCGACTTTCTAGGTTTGTGACAATCCTGAATTATTATCGATATTGTTTTCTCTTTTTCTCGTTTGTGTTTAGCAAAATCAAACCGCACAATAGTGTTATATTTTTTATGTATTTTCTGTTATAGGAGATTAGTGTGAGTGTTCTTCAATATTTGTTCAATATTGATGTTGCCTCTATTAAATTAGCAGTAGCAAATCGGCAAGATCAGAGCAGACCTTACGTAGTAGCCTCAGAGATGCCTGTATTGACTAGTGTCAAGAAATATTAACAGAAGAAACGTGTTTTTATATATTTAAAGTATTTCTAACTTTAGCTTTAAATAAATATGAAAAATCAAAATCAATTATATTAACAACTTTACATCTAACATTTGCATTAAACGTTCCTTAAAAAAAAAAAAGGTATATTAAAAATTCGCTCGAAACATGTTATAAAGACATATTAACCCTTATCGGACGCTAGCTTTTTATGCGTGATTCTCACTAGGTTGTACCTGGTTTCGGTAAATATGCGAACTTGTCACCTCCTACGTGACGTACGACCGCAGCGACGAAGTATTGTTGTCACATGAGAGGTGACTTACGACCGATAAGGGTTAAAAACGTTATGTTGAAATATGTGTTTAATATTTAAAATTTGTTTAGAATCTCTGTTTTAAAAACAAAATGCTACAAGCAGAAATTTTTTTTTAACAAAACGCTTTAAATCAAATTTCAAACCGAATTTAAAATAACGATCCTAGCGTTAACAGTGAAAGATTCCTCAAACTTGAGATCGACTCAACACAAACAACGTGGGAGGAATCTGAATGTGATTTAGAAAACTAAACACGACGAAAATTTATGTTGAATGTGCGAACTGTGGACGAATGAAAGAGCTCATTGAGAGACGCGCCGCGCGTGAGATCTCGGGACGAAATCCTCACGGGCATTTCAAACGGATGCACAGACGAAGAGAGACGTGCATCGATCTCAAAAATAGCACAAATACGCACTTCGCCAATTGATGATCCCGAGCGAAACACACGACTCGTTATTGACGTTTGCCGATAAATCGGGATTTTTGCACGGATTCTTTACGAATCTCTTTTTCCTGTAGATGGCGATTGACGCCAGAGTTGTAAGACGTGCGCGTGAAGGTGAGGAGGGACGAGAAAAGCATAACGACTGTCTTCGACTAAGAGGAAAATAGCTGGCGAATACTTCGACGATGGTCGACACGCTTGCCTTCTGTGCTCGCAAAGTCGGTCGTGTGTGCTTGGGAGCAACATCGATCGACCTGGCGTACATCTACCGCCAGCGTAGTCAGGCACGGGAGTGTCCCGTTGCATCTCTCAGAACAAAGCGAAATTTCCGGAAAGCACTTGGCTGCCTCTCTCACTTCCTTGGAAGAGAGAGAGAGAGAGAGGAGCACGCGTGTGCAAACGCGCGCAATGGCGAGATTCCGTGCTCCGCTCAATTTGTTCGCCATGTTCCGCGAACCTTAACCCTTTTCGTCGCACATGCCCTCTATTCCCGTGAAATCCGACGACGGAAGACGATATTTACGAAGTCCTGCCCGAGCACGCGAAGATGATTTTTCGCGTTGTTGAAAATTCAATCCCCCCCCC